GGGCCTCCCACATGAGAGGTGAGCACTCTACCACTGAGCCACAACCCCAGCCCATATATTTTGTCTTTGATAAGCAGAACTCTCTCTGCTGCCTGATCACCATGTGAGCTGCTTCCCTCTACCACACTCTTCCACCATGATGTCCTGCCTCACCTTGGGCCTGAGAATGGAGCCTGCTTTCTATGGACTGAGACTTCTAAAATCATGAGCCCTCAAACAAACTTGTCCTCCTCTATAGTTGTTCTGGTTGGGTCCTTAGTCACAGCAGCGGAAAAAGCTGACTAAAATAAAATTGATGCCAAGAGTGGGGTTGTTGCTGTGGCTAACTTGACCATGTGGTTCAGAGGTTTTTGGAGCTTTTTTTGAAATTTGTGGGAAGAATTTTCAAATGCTTAACAGCACAAGCTGTAAATGCTTTAGATTGTTGTAAGTGGAGCTTAATGAGTGATTCTAGTGGAAGCTCAGAAGACCAGAATGCCAATAGGACTGTGCACAGTGAAGATAGGGCTCAAGAGGGTTTAGAGGAAAAGGAGGATACTATTGGTCACCAGGACAGAACTACACCAGCCCTTTGGACGGATCATCACCATGCCATGTGTCCCAGATACTGGATGTGGTGCTATGCTACTTGTTTGTCCAGCTGGATTTCAGTCTTGCTTTGGCCCTATCCCTTCTTTCAATTCCTCTATTTTTCTAAATGGAAATGTTTATTCTGTATCTTTATATATTGGATACTTGTAAATAATTGGACTAGAAGCCATTCATGTTATGTTCTGGCTGAGAAGTTGTCTGCATCTTCCCTGTGTCCTTCTTAATCTGGTGGAAGAAATTTCTATGCAGCATAGCATTCAGACAGTGGCATGGCTTTTAGCCAACTTTATTGTGATAATAAGGAGCAGAGTAGAAAGATTTGAAAAACTTGAACTCAAAAGGTAGGAGTAAAACTGGGGCTAAGGAAGTTGCAGTTGTTAAAGACATTACCACCACTAAAGACATGCTAAAAATGACCAAAGACAATAAGAAAGATGGCTTGAGGATAATTCAGGAATTGACAATATCATGTCCATCTTGGACTCAAGGAAGTAAAAATAAAAATTCCCTTGAGAATAGACTAGTGGGGTACCCTTCTTGCACAAGAGGGCCTAGGAAGTTGCTTCAACATGCTTGTCTACCCAGGCACTCAGAGGCTACTGCAGCTATGGTCCCTGGAGGCTTGGGTACTGCTGGATATGGTGGTAGACCTTGGTATCAACCACATTGTACTGGTTCTCCAGGAATACAGGATGCTGGAATTAGTTATGGAGTCATGGAGCCTTCCACCAATATTTCAAAGGAAGGCCTTGGAGGCTAAGCAAAGTGTAGTAGATTTGAGTCCCTGTGGGCACCCCCTGAGAAAGCAAAATGTGAAGATGTGAGGACAAAGCTGAAGCTGCAGTGGAGACACCCAAGATTTTAAAATGCCAGTACTATGTTACGTACTGAGGAAGGCTGTAGGAATAGAGTTGAGACAAGCCAACAGGAAGGCCACTTGGGCTGCAACCAACAAGGCCACCAGGACAGAGCTATACGAGCTCTTTGGACAGAATATCACCATGCCATGTGTCCCAGATGCTAGATGTGGTGCTATGGGACTTTTTCATCTTGCTTTGGTCCTACCCCTTCTTTCAATGACCTACTTTTCTAAATAGAAATGTTTATTCTGTGCCTTTATATATATTGGATATTTGTAAATCACTTTTGATTTTTTAAAAATATATATTTACTTTAGTTGTAAATGGACCTTTATTTTATTTATATACAGTACTGAGACTCGAACCCAGGGCCTCACACATGCTCGGCAAGTGCTCTACCACTGAGCCACAACCCCAGCCCCAACTTTTGATTTTTATAGGAGCTTACAATGCAATCTTGCCCTGAGTCTCAGAGGAGACTTTCTGTGTAATCTTGGAACTGTTGAGACTATGAGGACTCTTGGAAAGGGACAAAATGTATTTTGCATTGTGAGATGGTTATGAAATTTTGGGGGCCAGGGGAGGAATGTTATGCTTGGATGTGAGGTTTCCTCCAAAAACTCATGTGGGAGATAATACAAAAGATTTAGAGGAGAAATGATTCGTATATGAGAGTCTTAACCCAATCAGTGAATTAATTCCCTTCTGGGATTAACTGAGTGGTAATTGAAGGCTGGTAGGGTGTGGCTGAAAATTTATATGACAAATATTTACTCAACATCTCTACTCAGATATTTTACTTTTCTGAAACAAATCCTTATAAATCCTTTTTACCTCACAAAATCTGCTCCATTCACATTCTGCTGCATTTCAATAAATGGCAGCTTCGCTCTTCTATTTGCTCAGGCCAGAAATTTTCAGTGCAGAGGTCTGAGCTAGAGATTCAAATTTGGAAGACATTTTTATACAGCTATTTTTTTTTTTTTGTACCAGGGATTGAACCCAGGGCCACTTAACCACTGATACACACCCCCTGCCATTTTTATATTTTACTTAGAGACAGGGTCTCGCTAAATTGCTTAGGTCCTCGTTAAGTTGCTGAGGCTGGCTTTGAACTAGTGATCCTCCTGCTTCAGGCTCCCAAGCCACTGGGATTATAGGCATGTGCCACCACACTTGGTTGTACCTCTACTTTTGAAAACTGTCAAACTGGACAAGATCACTGAGACAGTGAGTGTAAATAGAGAAATTGTATAAGGACTGGGTTCTGTCTCCAGTGTTTGAAGCCAAGTTCTCAAAATGTGGTCCTTAGACCAGCAGCATCAATATCACTTGGGAACTTGTTAGGAATGTGCATTTTTGTTCCTTCTCCCAAGACTGAGAAACTGAGAGTTTAATAAGTCCAACAGGTGATTTTAATATGGCTCCATGATTTAATCTCTGCTGATTTATACACACACACACACACACACACACACACACACACACACATATGGTTGTAGTTGGATACTTGTGCTAGGTGAGCGCTCTACTGCTGAGCCACAATCCCAGCCCTCTCTGCTGATTTCTTTTTCTTTTTTTTTTAAGAGAGAGAGAGAGTTTTTTAATATTTATTTTTTAGTTTTTGGTGGACACAACATCTTTGTTGGTATGTGGTGCTAAGGATTGAACCCGGGCTGCACGCATGCCAGGCGAGCACGCTACCGCTTGAGCCACATCCCCAGCCCTCTGCTGATTTCTTTATACTCATTTCTTAGTACCCTACCACAGAGAATTTCTAGAACTTTCCAGAATGTGTTGGTAGCACTGCTTTCCCTGTCAAGAAATATCATTCCTGTCTGAGCATAGTGGCGCACGCCTGTAATTCCAGCGGCTCTGGAGGCTGAGGTACTCCTACCCTAAGAAGGCCCTAAGCAACTCAGGGAGACACTGTCTCCAAAAAAAATATATAAAAGGGCTGGGGATATGGCTCACTGGTTAAGCATCTCTGGGTTCAATTCAATTTACCCTTCTTCCAAAAATGAAATATCATTCCTGCCCTCCTCAAGTTTTGCCTAATCTTTCAAGATATAAATCAATTTTTCTTGATTCCTTAGGTGGATTTTCTTATTTAAGTTCTAAAAACCTTGTGTAGATACATGTATTCCCGGAGCCTAAACAGTAGGAACTCAATATTTAATGACAGAGTAAAGTACCTAAATTAATATTTTGCATGTATTTATTATCTTCAGGCAACTGTACATGCCTTGAGAAATAACTTATTAATCTTTAGGTCTTAGCTGCTAAGCATTTACTTAAATACAATAGTTAAATGAGTTCCATTTAAAAATTTCTTTAGACTTTTTTTTTTCTCTTTTGAGACAGGTTCTTACTACATTGCCCAGGCTGACATGGAACTACTGTTCTAAAGCAGTCCTCCAACCTCAGATTCCTGGGGTCTAGAGATGCATGCCACGGGTCAGGGTTGTGGCTCAGTGGTAGAGTGCTTGCCTCACATGTGTGGGGCACTGGGTTCCATACCCAGCACCACATAAAAAATAAAATAAAATGAAGGTATTGTGTCCATCTACAACTAAAAAAAAATAAATTAAAAAAGAGAGAGAGAGATGCGTGGCACCACACTCCTCTTCCTCGGACATTTTTGTTGTGACTTCTGTTAACAGCTCAAGTGTTCAGCTTTCAAATTTTTTTAATTTGACCGGGCGCGGGGCGAACACCTGTAATCCCAGTGGTTAGTGAGGCTGAAGCAGGAGGATCAGGAGTTCAAAGCCAAGTTCAGCAACGTTGAGGCACTAAGCAACTCAGTGAGACCCTATCTCTAAATAAAGTACAAATAGGGCTGGGGATGTGACTCAGTGGTTGAATGCCCCTGAGTTCAATCCCCGCTACCCTCCCTACCAAAATTTATTAATTTGATTTTTATATCCGCTGAAGAACCAGTGACATATAACATTCCTCTAAAGTGGGGAAAGTGTTTATCGAACAGAATTTAGGCAATAACAACATTTGCACTTTTTCTTTAAAAAAATCATGGACACACCCTTAAGGAGGTCATCCAAAAGCTGGTGGCATTGAAGCCTGTGGATAGATTTGAGCCACTAAGATTTGTGGTAGCTCTTCCAATTTGAGAGAAGCAGAAAACCTGCCCATTGTGTGAAGACAGAGTTTTATTTGCCAGCAATGCCAATAGCAAAGTGGAGAAATGGGGTTAAGAGCAAGAGAAGCAGATAAGGTAGTGACCTAAAAATCACAGAGGTCACGGAAGTCTAAAGGATACATTTCAAGTAACTGGAGGTGAGGCGCTCTCCCTAGAGACCGCTTTTTGAAAAAGTGGGGGATGATGGGATGATGGGTGGGCCTTTTATTTTTCCAGATGAGCCAGGTTTCTGATTGGTGGCCCAGTGTTGCGTGTGCACCAAACTCCACCCCTTGAGCCTTAGCAACAGGAAAGGGAAAGACTGTGATTGGCAGATCCAGTTAGGAGCTCCGTGGAGCCAGGAGGGGGTGCTATTTATGCTGGTCCTAGGAGTTTGGTGCAGTCTTGAGGAGATGGCTACGCTTTCAAACCTAACACTTTCTGGGAAAGTGTTAACAAACCCCAACAGTGGGGGAAAGCTGGCTTTTCTGGATATGTCTCTAGGTATGTAGAGGCCAGAACCCATCCCCCAGAGTCAGGGCTAGATGTGTTTGAGTGGGAGACCTCCTCCTGTCTAGCACAGGCTGGCGATGGCGTTGCCGCCCTCTCTCAGGAGAGGCTTCCACCTCATGTTACCAAACTCGCCCCATCTCAAAAATACCCTCCGTGCTGTCCCTGGTCTCTGCTCCCTAACCGTGCCTCTATCCTTTAGTAGGGGAACCCTGACAGAAATTGCATGGGGTGTGCTGGAAGTTGCTGGTGGGGACACCTGAGGGAAATTTTAAAAGGCAATCTTTTGGATGTGTTTGCTTTTCCTGAGAGATGACTCCAAGCCGCGTTCCTCCTTCAGGCCTGAGAGGTCACACGAACTCCTCATATTCAAGTGTGTCATAAATGACTAACTGCCAGGGACCGATTGCTAGGGACTCCCTGGAAGTGCGTAGAAGGAGTGGGAGAAGGGGCGATTGGTTGGCCGGTTGGTTGGTTTTTATGTGGTGCTGGGGAGTGGACTCAGGTCTTCGTAGGTGCTGGCGAGTGGTTTCTGTAGATGTTGGCAGGTGGTTTTGTCGCTATTCGCCCACTGCTCCTACCCTGGCGCCTCCTAGTCTCTTACTTCAGACCTTTAAATGGACAGTGAAGCCCTTAAAGTTTTAATTCCTTTCCCAAGACTCGTAATTCCCATGGGGGACCGATTTTATTTTATTTAGATTTTTAAAGATGGACACAATATTTTTATTTTTACTTAATCTATGTTTTTATGGGATGCTGAGGATTGAACCCAGGTCTCACAGCGAGGCAAGTGCTCTACCACTGGGCCACAACCCCAGCCCAGGGATCTCATTATTCACTTGCTATCATACACCTTAGAAAAGGAAGGTTTGGGGTAGGGGTGGGGTAGACTTTGTAAATGAGCCAGCCAGAGAGCCTAACTGGGCTGGTAGTTATGGAAACAGAGGGGGCGCAGTAGCAGAGGAGGGAAAGAAACAACTGAGAGGGAAGGAAAGACCTGACCCGTCAGGGTCACGTAGGAAATGAGGGGGAAAGGCATCGCTTTGAGGACGGACCTAAATCGCACAAAGGAGTGAAGAGGGTGCACCATATAAATGGGAGGAGCAATGAAAAGGAGGCGGGGTTCAAATTAGAGATGAGGGTCGGGGATCAGTGAGGGGCAGAACTTGGAAAGAGGTGGGGTTGTGGATGGAGAGTGTACCATAGAAATGAGAAAAAGTTGATACGGATAGAGAGAAAAGATCACGGAAATAGAGTGGAGCCCCTTGGGGCGAGGAGTAGAGCAGTGACATCCAGCCCGCGGAACTTGGAAGTGGGAAGAGCAGAGCATATAGCGGGAATTTAGAAAAGAGTAATAGCCTTTGCGAGCAAAGTCCCAGTTCTTCTGGAGGCTGAGGCAGGAAGATTGCTTGAGT